ATTCTGATTGGTTTGTGAAGTCCTGAAATGGGACCTTACCTATTTATGAGTACTTAGACGAACAAACTATATTTACAATGTGGTTTTCACGAGATGAACTTTGGCTGATGAAGAATAGGAGCGCTTATGACAATAGAACTAAATAATCTAAGGATGCTACATACTGTACTTACACTGATGGTAAACTTGTTGTGCATTTTTTTTCTGAATTTTCCTCATTTAGCTAATGCGTAAACATAAATTGGGTTGAAGAACTATTGTTCTTGGTTCTCTATAATTATGCCCAGCACAATACATCTGGGTCTTGGCTCTAAAAATGATGTTCCATAAATGGTCAAAAGGACCATCATTTTTTTGTAGGGAAGAACGAAAGCTTAGGAAAGCATCTTATGAGTATTAGACCAATCAGCTACTAGCCTTCCTCAATTAAACGAAAACAATTTGGAAAAAAGTTCAAATCTAAGCATGAATGCAGCTTGTTACAAGTGATGGTCTAGAAAAAACAAACACTAACCCGAGGCTTCTCCAGTGACCACCACTTCAGCATCAACATGGCTAGTAGATGTTGGTTCACTGCCATTTAACGTAGAGCTCTGGCAATGTAAAAGTAAGGTAACAAGTGGTTGACTATGTTCAAATATAAAACCTCTTGTATTTGGGAAGAAATATGTTCTCCTGATTCGGAATGAGGCTGTTCCTCATGAAGGTTAGCTTCCTGTACAACAGGACGTGTGTGGATTGAAACGGTAACTTGTTGAACGTCCAACGGACCAGCTGGCTGAAAACCACATAGACGAAAATATGCAAAAGCAGAGTAAGAAGTTAAGATGTGCCTTACCGGTGCTGTATTGATTTCCGTGAGAATACGCTGCAAACGATCCTGATACAGGATCAGTGGCATTTCATAGTGATGGAAGAAAAATATCATGGAATGCTAAAAATTAAACATGCTAAGAAACTCCCAGGAAAAATTGCGAAAATCACAACTAATTACGTACGACTATGAAGGCTGTTGAAGTTATCAGAGCCATTCCACCATACTGCCCACCAAACCGATACTGATATGCATAGAAGAAGAACTGATAAAGATAGAAGAACCTGTAAATATGTTCTCATTAATAAGTTTTGAAAAAAAA